CGCAGACCTTTGTTTCCTTGGGACTCTGAGGCTCCCTCCTCCCCTCCAGGCCAGGAAGATCTCTGAATGGCGAATTAGGGATCTGCTGGGGCTGGGGGGCACTTCTCTGTCCTGCAGATGCCAGCAGATTTGTATCGGAAGCCGGGACTCACACTTCCTGGGCAGGTGCCTCAACCCCTCCTGTGGGAATTCTGAAATTAGGCTTCTTCAGGAGGAGCATCCAGGTCTATCGCAGGAAGCCTAGTGATGAAAATCAGGAGCCGGGCTCGGTGGCTCAGCTTGTAATCCTGCGCCTTTGGGAGGCTGAGGTGAGTGGATTGCCTGAGCCCGCGGGTTCGAGACCCGCCTGGGCAACTTGGCAAGACCTCATCTCCACAATACATCAAAAAATTAGCCAGGCATTGTAGCGCGCCTGTAGTTCCAGCTACTTGGAAGGCTGAGGTGGAAGGATCGCCTGAGCCCAGCAGATCGAGGCTGCGGTGGCTGGGAGCGGCCACTGCACTCCAGTCTGGGCAGCAGAGTGAGACTCCAACTCAGAAAAAAAAAAAATCAGGCAGGTGGCCTGCATGCTGCCACCCTCTGCAGTGCCACAAAGGGTCTGGGATCCTCTCCCCAGAAGGAAACCTCTGGCCCCTCTTACTTATCCTGACAGAAATGTCATGAGAGAGTCTGAGAAGAAAAGTGAGTTAGTAGCCAGGCTCGGTGGCTCAGCCTGTAAACCCAGCACTTTGGTGAGTGGATTGCCTGAGCCCAAGGGTTCGAGACCCACCTGGGCAACTTGGCAAGACCTCATCTCTACAATACATCAAAAAAAATTAGCCAGGTGTGGTAGCATGCGCCTGTAATTCTGGCTACTCGGAAGGCTGAGGTGGAAGGATCGCCGGAACCCAGCAGGTCAAGGCTGTGGCCGGGAGCGGCCACTGCACTCCAGTCTGGGTGACAGAGTGAGACTCCAACTCAAAAAAAAAAAACCAAGAAAGAAAAGTGGGTTAGTGGTTAGTCTTCAGTGCTGTGGAATTACCCTTCATACCCACATGGAATTTTAAGTGGAATGCCAGCTAAAACTGTGGCCCCAACACATCAGCTCCATGGTGGGGAGGCATGGGCTGTCTCATTCTTTGCTGTGTCTCCTGTGTCCACACAGTGTAGTCCTGATACATGTGTCCATATGAGAGTGGCTGTACCCTCCAGATTTTCAAGCTAAGTAAGTGACAGGACAGGTGAGCCTTCAGGTTACCTTTTCTGTGAATTCTCTCTAGGGCTCTTGGCATGACTCCGTGGGATAGATAAAGCATTTGTCCTAGTTCCACCACTAACTAGCCATAACATGGAGCAAGTGACTTTGTCAGGGACCTTGGTTTCTGCACCATAGGAGGTTGGAAGGATGATTTCTAAGGTTCCTTCTTGAGCTCTCAGAGGCCTCAAGTGACCGGGCATAACTATACTTAAGTGTGTGGTAGAGGTTGGAATTAGGTGGAAGTGGTGGTGATGTAGTCTAACTAATAGTTATAATTAATAAATGACCAGGCCGGGTGACATGACTCAAGCCTGTAATCCCAGCACTTTGGGAGGCTGAGGGAAGAGGATTGCCTGCGTCCAGGGGTTTGAGACCGGCCTGGGCAACTTGGCAAGACTTCATCTCTACAATAAATCAAAAAAATTAGCTGGGCATGGTGGCACATGCCAAGTAGTTCCAGCTACTTGGAAGGCTGAGTTGGAAGGATTGCCTGAGCCTAGCAAGTCGAGGCTGCAGTGGCTGTGAGCATGCCACTGTACCCCAGCCTGGATGACAGAGTGAGACTCCAACTCAAAAAATGAAATAAGATCAATCGCCAGCCGCTCGGAGGCTCAGCCTGTAATCCCACGCATTTGGGAGGCTGAGGTGAGTGAATTGCCTGAGCCCGCAGGTTCGAGACCCGCCTGGGCAACTTGGCGAGACCTCATCTCTACAATAAATCAAAAAATTAGCTGGGTGTGGTAGCGCATGCCTGGTAGTTCCAGCTACTTGGAAGGCTAAGGCGGAAGATCGCTGGAGCCCAGCAGGTTGAGGCTGCGGTGGCCGGGAGCGGTCACTGCACTCCAGTCTGGGTGACAGAGTGAGACTTCAACTCAAAAAAAATAAATAAATCACCAGAGTCAGGAAACCTGGCCTAGTGGTTCCATGCAGAAGCCACTGAGCGAAATCCTAGGGGTGTCTCCCAGAGTGTAACACTTTTTCATGAAACATTTTTCTGAAGTCTTTACCCTGGCCATTTTTCACAACTTTCCTGTCCCCTGAACAAGCATTTACTTTGAGCTATGTCCTTTATATACTTCAGTTCATTCACTTCTTACACTAGACATTTACTGAGAAGCAGAAATATTTATCAACTTGCTGGGTCCCTTATAGGACTGCTACTTTCCTGCTTCCCAGTTTTCTTGATCACTTTCCTTGACTTTGGTTGTGTGTTTTTTCTTTTTCATCTTTTTTCGTGGGCCTGCCACAGGCTCAAATGAAGAGGCTTGCCAGCTCCTAATCTAGACAGTTCATAAAATCTGTCTTGATGCTCATCAAACCATCCAGCAAACCCTGTTGCATAACTGCAATTCTTAATGTTGATTTGCTTAGTGATTACTAGGGTAGTAAGTTCCCCCTTTTGGAATTCACAAAGAGGCTACATGACCATATCTTGGGGTTTTTACAGAGAATTGTTATGTGTTACCTGGGAGATAGACATGCTACCCACAGAATTTCTCACAGACTTAGGATTTTGTGATATGCACGAGCATTTTGCAGCTTTTGGAACGCATGCTGGGAACTTGACCTTTGTTACCTTTCTTCTTTGTCACCTCTCCTTCCATGTCTTGCCCAGAACACCTGGTCAGGTGAGGTTCTTTCTGCTGAAAAGACTTGGATGTGCAATAAGAATTTCCAAATGTCAGAGTTGGAAAGAAACTTATGAGGCCTTTTAATCCAGACCCGTCCTTTGGCATCTGAGGCCTGGGGAATGTGTGAGAATTGAACAGGGTCACCAGCTGTTGCCGCCAGAGCCCACTCTCCAGGGACTCTATTCTAAGATTCTTTTCTCTACCAAACCAAGGAATGTGTTACCTAACTACTTACTCATTCCATCTGTGTGACTTTCTGTTGTATTATTGATCCAAAGTTTAACCAGTAAACTTAGAACAGTGCCTGGCACGGAGTAGGCATTCAGTACACATTTATTGAATGAAATTCCTGACTCCAGAAACATTGAGGTTCATAAATAGCCATGTGGTGAAATCACAAATTTCTTTCTTGGCTGTGACATTAATAATCTACAGAGTCAACCAGGCTCGGTGACTCAACCTGTAATCCCAGCGCTTTGGGAGGCTGAGGTGAGTGGATTGCCTGAGCCTGCGGATTCGAGACCTGCCTGGGCAGGTGAGACCTCATCTGTACAATAAATCAAAAAATTAACTGGGCGTGGTAGCGCACACCTGTAGTTCCAGCTACTGGAAGGCTGAGGCGGAAGGATCACCAGAGCCCAGCTGGTTGAGGCTGCGGTGGCCAGGAGCGGCCACTGCACTCCAGTCTGAGCGACTGAATGAGACTTCAACTCAAAAAAAAAAAAAATCTACAAAGTCAGTGAGCAAATGGTCAGTAGCTCAGCCCTCAGTGGGGCTGCCCACCCCCTGCCTGGCCGAGGACTATGTTCTTTCCAACTCACATGCTCTACTCATAAGTTCATGGGTGTCATCAGATAAGTGTAAAAAATCCAGACTTACCATTCACATGACTCCAGCCCAAGGCCAAGGAACTGGCCAGGTGGGTAGGCCTGATGCCTTGTCTGGGGAAATAAATGCATGCTTCTGTCCGATGGCTTGCATTGCTGAGACTTGCTCATTTCCCCTCGTGTTGGGGAGCATTGTCCATCCCTGTACATTTCCCGAGCTTGGCTGCTCTTAGCTCCTGGAGAAGCTCTTGAGGACACCAGGGAACAGAGCTCGCTCCTGTTTGCCACAGGGTCCTGCTCTGCTCCTGTGAAGCCACAGCCCTCTCAGAGCCGTCTCTTAGACCTGCGGTCCTCTGCAGCCGTGTCAGGCTTCAGTTCTGGTGGGATGCAGCTGTCAGCAGCCCCACAGCAGCCGGGAAAGACGTGTACCCTCGAAGTATGTTTGTTTCAATCCACCGAGCGTTCTTTCAGTGCCACGATAAACTGGAAAGCCTGCCTGTGGGTCACTGAGGAGTGGGCTGAACGCCAGCACCACTAATGACACAGGTGTGGGGGTGGTCTGTCCCAGAATGGTAGCTCAGTTATCCCACCTCAGTACCTGCTGGCCATTGAGATGTGAGAACTGCGTGTGGCACGAACCCAACGGCCCCGAGTTTGCAGGAGCAGCTCACACATCTGCCTACACTCAGAAAGCCTCTTTGGCTCCTGTCTGAGGCTGAGGCACCCAAGTTTAAGTTGTTTATCGCTGCAGCCTTCTGAGTGGTGGGCTTGGGAGGAGGAGGTGGCCAGGCCTATGGAGGGCTGTCCTCACACTGCCCCCTCTTCCTTTGCCAGAGCCCTGGCCCACGACAGCCTCAGGTGACCAGCAGGGCCTGATGGGACGTTGGTCTAGCTCAGTTCGGGTGTTGGCAAGACTTCTCCAGGCTCTGCAAACAGGCTGCTTCGTCGGCCTTTGTAGACTTGGGATCTGAAACCTCTCAGGCCCAGCCCTGTCCAAACCCTTTGTGTACAGGCTGCCTGCAGACACCCAGTGAAGGAGGCTCTCTGCCCACTGCTAGGTGGCCGTCTTTCGTGCACAGACCTCCCCCTGCCCAGCCTCTCCGATATGCTTTCTCTTGGAATGCTGTGCAGCTGATGAAAGGTTCTGAGGGAGTTGGGAAGGAATGGCGTGCAAGCCGAGACCCGGCTGGTGGGCAGCAGGTTTCTGGCGTATCTCACTGCTAACCAGTGGCAGGCAGCCTCCCTTCTGTCCCAGGTGCTCAGCACTGCGTGGAGCTACACACCCTTGTCATTCTTGTATTTCAGGAAGACGATGAGAAGCTAATTGAGGAAATCCAGAAGGAGGCTGAAGAGGAACAGAAGAGAAAGAATGGAGGCAAGTGCCCCCGCCCCCATGACAGAGCACCACCTCCTCCCTGCAGCCAAGCTCTGTGAGGAAGCAGGACCATGGACCACGTGGAGGTTCCACTGCTGCCCTCCCTGGGGATCCTGGCATCAGCCCAGCCCAGGGGGTGGGGAGTGTTGTCCCTTAGGTGACTGTAGACCCGACTCCACCCACTCAGGCCTGTGGAAAGACCCTCAAAGCCTGGCTACAGTTTGACGTCTCCCTGATGGTGGGAAGGTCTCGAAGGGATGGTTTGAGCTCAGGAAGCAAACAAGCCACACCTCACTAAAGAGGCAGATAGTCCTGCCCTGACCCTCGAGGCGCAAAAGGAATGCAGCCGGAGGCAGTGGCGCGCACCTATAATCCTGCCTCTAGAGGCTGAGGCAGGAGGATTGCTTGAGCCCAGAATTCGAGGCCAGCCTAAACAACATAGCGAGACCCCCAAATCTGGGGGAGGGCGGGAAGGAACGGAATAGAGTTGTTTTTGCTCAAGGTGGCTGCTCAAGGCTCTGGCCGTGAAAGATACCCCCTTGACTGAGCTGGGTAGATGGGCCACCTTCCAAGGTGCCGTGGTGGAGCATGACACACTTGGGGAAGCGTTTTGTCTTGGCTTCTTGTGACAGCTGGGGCGGGGTGCGGTCACGTTCTGCGCTCGCGTTGGCCATCTCACGGAGGGACCAGCCTCCTGCGTCCAGAGCTGCAGGGGCTGCGAGTCAGAGGGCACCCACTCACATGCTCCAGGCTCCCTCAGCTCCCCCGCTCCGCCGGGGACCAGGGTCGGTGTGTGCCGTTGTACCTGGTTTTCTCAACTGACTCCATCTCGCTTTTAGAGAACACCTTCAAGCGCATCGGGCCCCCGCTGGAGAAGCCTCCCGAGAAGGTGCAGCGGGTGGAAGCCCTGCCCAGGCCCGTCCCGCAGAACCTGCACCCGCCGCAGATGCCGCCCTATGCCTTCGTGCACCCACCCTTCCCCCTGCCGCCCGTCCGGCCCCTGTTCAACAACTTCCCCCTCAACATGGGCCCCATCCCCGCACCCTACGTGCCGCCTCTGCCCAATGTGCGCGTCAACTACGACTTCGGCCCCGTCCATGTGCCCCTGGAGCACAACCTGCCTATGCACTTCGGCCCCCAGCCGCGCCATCGCTTCTGATGCCCAAAGCCCTGCCCAGCCCCCCCCCAGCAGTCACTGGGCCTGGGGGTGGCGGTGGGGGACAGCGAGTCCTCCCCAGCCCTCTCCCCCTCCCCAGGCCTCGGCCAGTGCCTCCTAAGAAGGGACGGAAGAGTTGGCTGGTTTTCTCTCTGCTCCTTTCCTGGGAAGCACCTCGGGGGGCCTGTAAGGCATCAGTCGACTCACTGGGCGGGAAGAAGAGGGCAGCCAAGCCCTCCTCCTGAAGAGTTCTGTCATCTTAGCGGCCAGCACCACATGAAGCAGGCCCCGTCTGCTGCGTCACTCCCGTCCCCGCAGAAAGAGACAGAGGAAATAATGTCTCCATTTCCCTTCCCCTAGCAGACAACTGGATAAACCTCTTAGAATTCAAACCACGTAGGCCTTTCTTAGCACAGCACAGATGGATCCACAACAAAGATCAAGTAGCAGACAGTGGAGTTGGGTGAGAGAGGAGACCTGCCCCCACCCGCCAAGGGCGGCCCTTCTGCTCCAGCCTGGGCACAGCCCACAGGTCAGGGACCAGCACCCCTGCTGCTCCCACTTGGGCTTCTCAGACCCGAGCCCTGAGGAACGAGGCAGCCGGAGCATCCCCTGGTGGCCTCACCAGGCTCTGGGCTGGGTCACGTGCAGACGTAGCAAAGCACATCAGTGGACCTAGGAAGCGCCACTCAGGGTGGGGAGCTGGGGACCACAGCCTGCCTGGGCAGGATGCCCCCCACTTCTGGAGCCCGCGTGCCACCACTTAGTGGTCTCCTCTCTGCTCTCTTAGGCCCGTTAAGATCAGGCAGCAGCAGAGAACCATCTCATGGTGTGAGTTTTGTTCTGTTTACCTGAACAAACATTCACTCCTGTTTACTCGCTGAACTTACCCAAGTCCAGGGCCTGCATGAGTTTCTCTCCCAGTTTCTGGAAAGTCAAACTGAGAAGGCATCACCCGGGTAATGGTGTGGAGAGCAGGATGGCCCTGAAACTTTGGCCAGACAAAAGATCCCCTGGAGGTAGCTGGGACAGAGACCTAGTTGCCCAGGGGCCTATCGTCAAGGACGACTTTGCCATCAGCTGGGCGGTGAACGGTTTTCCCCAATGGTTTTCTGGGGCAGGAGTGGGCTCCCCAGGGACGGACGACCCTGGATGGCACCAAGCTGGGCGCTGCCTGTGCCCGGCCTTTTGCCGCCTCCGCCTATGGTGTGCCTCCTGTGTGCGTTCGGGAGTGAAGGCTGGCAGAGAGTGGAGTCCTGGCTCCCTGGGTGGGAAGGCTCCCCCCGGCTTCCTGTTCGCCGTCCTCGCTTCCTGTCCGGCCCTGGGTCTCCCCACATTACCTGAGGCATCTCTCCAACTCATTTGCCAGCTAGAGGCCTAAAGCACTCCTGGCAGCAGATGCCACTTCCTGTGTTGGCCTTCGTTGTCCTTGGCACGTTGCCTTGGGGCTCCGGGAGGCTGAAGGTGCCCAGACCTCAGAGACAGGCCAGGCCCACGGCCTCCAGGCTGCGTGGGGTGTGGCTCCCCAGCACAGTGTTTAGTGCGGCGGCAGCAGCTCACATCACCCAGGGTGCCCCGGGCCAGTGGGTGCCGTCGCTCACTGCTGTGGGCTTCTCAGATGGATTTCAGGGATCAAAATGGGCGAAAAGGCCACCGATGACGCCCGCTCTTTCCGCCGTTTTCTCAGGATGAAGGCTTTGAAGACAGGTGGTCGTCCGGGCACGGGGTTGGGGGTGTGTGGGGTGGCTGGGCCTGGGGCGGCCTGCTGCTGTGTCCGCCCCCTGTTGGGCTGCCTGGACTTCACTACTAGCCTGAACGACAGTGCCTTGGAAAGGCGGGCTCCACGCCACAGCAGCGGGATTCTCTCGAGGACCTCAGCTGCGTGTGTTCTGTGCTTCCCCAGGGAGGGTTCTCTGGGAACAGTGGTGGCAGACGTCCCGGCAGATGGGAGGCGAGGTGACCCCAGCACGTGGCTCCATCGAAGCACCAGCGGTGAAGGGAAACGGGCAGCTCCAAGGACAGCCCTGGTGGGTGGCAGGCCCCAACCCTGGCAAGGGAGGTGGGAGACCAGTGACATTCCCGGAAGGCCAAGCCCGAGGACAGTCCTTTGAGACGAGTTCTGGCCATCTTGGGCTGGTGGGGAGGACATGTGGTGCCCAAGTACCACCCCTGAGCTGGACGCAGGCAGCCACAGGGCTGCTCCCAGCATGGCATCACAGGCGCAGGTGCCCTAGATGGCCACCCCGTGGCACCCCACGTCCAGAGGCAGGGTGTGGACCTCGGGCTCCTATCCCCTGGACTAGCGACGGGCTTGGAAGAGAAGGGGTTGGCGGTCCCCTGACCAGCCAGCACAAGGCCGTGCAGCGCTGGGTGTGGCTCTCAGGCCGGGATCCCAGATGGCAGGTCAGCACCGGCAAAAGTCCTCAGGTGCGAGGATGCCCAGTGACAGTCCCTTTTACTTGCCTTAAAACTGGAGAGAGGAATCTGGTATTTGCACTCAGCAAGGGATTTTGAAACTGAAAAAAGAAAAATGCATGATCTGTCACTTTGTACAAAAATAGTAAAGAGTGATTAAGAAGTTCTTTAAACTTTTTACCTTCTGGTAGTAAAAATAAATACAAATAATTCTGTTTAAACTACTGTGTGTAAAAAGCCTGTATCATATGTAATTCGAACTTTTTGTAAATAAATGTGTGTGCGCTCTGCCCTCTGCACTCTTTCCTCGCTCGCCGCCGTCCGGCAGGCGATGGCAGCCCCAGCCTTTGCCGACTATTCCTCCTCGGAAGTGCTTAGGTCTGGGCCGGCTGCTCCCTCCCCACCAGATCCTGCGCCAAGTGAGGTTTCAGAACCCACCCTCACCTGCTGGAGGAAGACCTGGTGCTCTGCTTGGGCAGCCACGGAGGCCCGAGTGAGGCACAGAGTCTATTTGCTTTTTGGCACAGACCCGCTTCGAGAAAGTGCTGTCAGTCCCTCTTCCAGGCCCCTTCCCAGCTGGGCCCCAGAGAGCCTCTGGGACAGACAAGGGTTCCAAGAACAGGAGGTTCCTCGGCCGAGGAGGCTGCAGCATTTGGGTCCCTGCCCTGCCTGGCTCGAGGGACCCCACTGCCCTCTGTGGTGGAGCAGCCTGTTCCCTCCAGGGTCCACTGAGGCCAGCTGGCCCTTTGTCACCTCCTGCCAAGCCAGCCAGGAGTTGGACCCTAGGTCTGGAAGGGCACATCAGTGGATCTGAAAGTGGACCCTGGGCACAGGGGAAGCCTTGGCTTCAAATTCAGGTGGACCGCGACACTGCTAAAATGTGGGTCTGCCCTCTCCTGCCCTTTGCACCTTTATGATCCCAACTCAAAAGATAAAAGAAATTTCTCTCCCAAAAAGTGTTACCGACGTTCCCAGCTTCTAAACTGTGTATTTTTACCCCAAAGGTTACTGGATAGTTGTAAGTTGTGTATGCCATCCAGTTCTCGTTCCTGTTCCATGTTTTATGTACTTGCAGCAGTAACACGGACTTCTGCAGGGGGCTTTGTTTGAGTTTGAGTCTGAGTCATTCTGTTGCCCACCAGTCATTCTATCCTTCCATCTCGGGCTTCTAAGTAGCTGGAACTACAGGCGCATGCCACCACACCCAGCCAACTTTTTAATTTATTGTAGAGACGAGGTCTCGCCAAGTTGCCCAGACTGGTCTCGAACCCCTGAGCTCAAGCAGTCCTCTCGCCTCGGCCTCCCAAAGTGCTGGGATTACAGGTTTGAGCCACGGTGCCCGGCCTTAATCTTTTGCTTTATTGTAGAGCCAAGGTCTCACCAGGTTGCCCAGGCTGGTCTCAAACTCCTGGGCTCAGGCAGTCCTCTCTCCTCCGCCTCCCAAATTGCTGGAAGTACAGGCATGAGCCACTGGCTCTCTGCAATTGGAGCAAGTAGTCTCCACTCCCCTGCCATCTATTCCATCATTCATCCGTGGTGACCGGTGGGGCGACCTCCCGCTCCCAGGCCCCAGCATGCACGTCGCAACATGCTTGCCCACCGCCGGGGCTCTGGAGCCTTTGTTTTTACAAAAGCTCTTCAATACCTTGCACTGCAACTCACTGTTCTCTCTCATAACAGTCACAGGCTGTCCCCCAGCTCTGTAGATCTCTGCATCCTATTTGTTGCTGTGCCTTCCAGGATATGTCATGGTATAGATTCACCACAAGTCGCACAAACATTCTCACTTGGCGATGTTTCCGAAGATCTAATTCCCAAGGTGGAGTTGAACAGACAGGCCGGGCTGGATGGCCTTTGCCAAATCCCCCTCCTGCAGAGAACTGTGGCCCCACCCCTCAGCGGGACATTCCGTGGCCACAGTCTGGGTCTGTCCTGAACGTGTCTGCAGGGATTTGACCTCATGGTGGCATCGCTCGTATCTGCTTTTTCCCTTTTTTCTAGCTTTTCTATTTGTTTTCGATACGGCTTCTTTTGGGTCAGGGACTTTGGTGATTGTCACGTCCAAACTTCTATGTCCCTTCCTTAAAAAGTCTTTTTATGCGTTTGCCAGTCATAAATGTTCAAGAAATAGGAAATGCGTGTGCAAGACAGAAGCATTTTGAAAACAGGGAAGCAGAAAGCAAAAGGAGACATGCCTCGTTTCCTGAAGGTAACTGGGGTCACTTTAACGTGTTTCCTTCCGGTGTGGGTTTTCCGTGCTGCGGTGTTGCTCATAAAACCAGCAGGGCGGAGGCACAGGTTTGCGTCTCGCTTTGCTTTTTCTCTCTTGGGCATTCACAAGACATGAGCGGTGCTTCCAAATGGTTTATAATGAGCTCTTGGCCTTCAAGAAGCCCTTGCTGTAGGCTGCTTCCACCTTCTCTGTGAACTTCGGGTGATGGTCTACAGCTGGTGTTACGTTAGCACCACCCAGGCCACTGGCCTGTTCTCATGACCCCTGGGGACGTGGTCACTTTCACGGTCCCTGCCCGGCTTCCCTCTGGGTCAGGATGAAATCTGACAGCCAGTTCCTTCCTCTCCATCCACCCACCTGCAGAACACAGCCCAGGATTGGCCCCGGCTTTGCTTCACCAACGGAGGTGCCCAGTAAGCCCCACGGGGACGT